ATAATCAGGTTCACACCTTTTAAAGCACTGCTTTTGTTCTTAATAATTTACTGAGCACAGCAGCACACAAAAGTTAGCATTTGTGAAGTTCTCTGCTTGATCTTGTGCAGCATTCTGTTCTGGGAGAGCATTTTTGGCCGTGTCAAAACAAACACTTGGAGGTGAGTCCAGATGATTTGATGTTCTGTAGCTTGTTGTTTTTTTCTAATGCTCCTGGGTTTTACGCTGTTAGTATATGACAGCTTTACACAACATATGGAACTGATGGTGTGTTTCAAAGCTCCTTACACTTGTCAGAAACTTCTAGTCTGCACAGTAGTCTGGAACCCAGTGCTCGTGTGTTTTGCACTTGGCAAAAAGCAGTAATGTGATCCATCTGCTGGCTGCTGAATTTGAAATGAAGTAAAAAAATGCATGAGAGAGTGATGGAACAGCATACCTATAGTAGAGCTTGTGACAGTGCTGATTCAAAGGCTGAAGCTTTGTGCAAACAGCTGTAAGAATTCACCTCTATCAAAGGATGAACGTTTTAAATCGTGTTGCTGAGGTTTTCCAGGGCCTTGGATTAGCCTGTAATCAGAAATCTTTTACTTTACATCACCGTGTTGTGTCTGAGCTGTCAGGTTCAAAAGCCCCTGCTGTAGAAATGGCTCCAGCAGATCCCAGCAGGACAACATCTCCTGCAGGAAGAGCAGGGCTGAGCTTGCACACCTGTCAGTTATCCCATCCAAGAGCTGGGTGTTTGGGTATTCTCGTTGTTTGGAAGTTTGTTGTTAGGAAAATATTAATGACCTCCCAACGCATGGTTCTGTGCTGTGTCTGATGGATTGCTAGGCCCCTGAGGCACAGGCTGAGTTTGCCTTCCACAGAGCCAAACACATTGTCAGCACTCAATTAGACATTGGATATATGGTTCTGTGCTGACTCAGAGCTGAAAGATAGCCACTATTCTTATTGAGCATCCCTGCATAGAGCAAGCAAGCTATTTTTACCCAAACCTAAACCTTTCTAACATTTTTCCTGATAGAAAAAAATGAATCCTGTGTAATTGAAATAATGTTGAAAGAAGGGATCTTTTCTGGGAGATGGCAGTGCTGTTTTTAACCTTCCAGTAACTGAGAAAAGGCAGCCTCTGCATGTGCCCACATCAGTGCCTCTGTTCCCTCTTGGCTACACCAAATGGATGAGCTGTTGGCAAGAGAAGCCATGCTCTGAGACACAAAGGGCTGATCAGCCAGTGTGGGAAAAGAGCAATGGGGAGAGAGGCAGCAACACCTTAGGAATGAAAGGGTGGAAAGCTGATGGGTCAGTGCCAGTACAGGGACAGTTGTAGAGTGAAGCTGGCAAATATTTATTTGGAGGAGAAAGAAGAGAAATATGGGCAATAGATGCAGGGAGGATGCTTTCTTTCTCTGGTGTGTTTGGGCAGAAGAGAGGGAAGGGAATATAAGGTGAATTTTTTTTGGATGCCACAAATTTTTGTAATTCCAGTCACGCACAGTAAAGCTGGGCAGTGCTGGCTGTGAAGGTTCCCGTGCACCTGTACAGGGTGGGACAAGCATTCAGAGGCAGAAATAGACACTAAGCCATCCTGTTTGGGCAATTACACTCTTCCTGCATTCTCACCGCAGTCGGCAGTTTAGTGGCTAAGCCACAAAGGAGGCATAAGGACGAGTATGATCTCCTTTAGAGAATACCTGTACTTAACAGAACCTCCCTCCTGGGATGGCATTCATTACGTGTCTATTTATTCATCCATTGCTCACACGATAATTTGCTTCTGCAGAAATGTATCTGGGCTGCACCCAGCGCTGGGACTGAGCCACGTTAGCTGGCACAGCTGGACATCATTTACCAAGAGAAATTAGCAGTACGGCACACATAATGGTGACTGATGTAGCTCTGTCTGCCCATGGCTGCTCTAAATGCAATCCCTTCTTCCTCAGGAGCTCATCCCAAATCCCAGTGGATTTTTAATTGCCCTGGCTTGCACTATATGTCTCTTCAAGAGTTGGTAATATTCTAAGAGGGCTTTAAGTGTAAGTGGAAGAGGAGCTGTTGATTAGGAAGAGGCAAATGAAATGCCAGCTCCTGTCATAGCTCACTACTTATGTAAAGGATTTGTGGCAGTGGGTTGATCCGGAGCAGCAGCTGTGGTAGTGTCACTTGGGTACTAATTGGGAGTCCGTGAGTACAAAGAGCACAAAATGCTGATGAGGAGGGCATAGGAGCTAGCTAGGAAGAAGCTGGCACACGTGCCAGGCTGCTTTACTGGAACACATCCCTCTGCATTATGCTGCGGCCTCCTTTCTCTGCAAATTAATCTATTTTCTGCTGCCCCTCTTCCCAGCTGAATGCACAGGCAATTTTCTGTCTTCCAGATAAGATCTCTGCTTCACAGTGTTTGGTTCTCATAGAACCTCAGAGTTCTGGCCTAGAGTTACTCAGCTTTCCATCCCACCTGGTAACATGCCCTGATCCACTCACCTCAGCTCAGCCATCCCGGGCTGTAGGAGTACAGACTGACTTCTTGTTTGTTGTAGAGCCTGTGTCTGGCCATCAGGAATCTCATCTGTCATCTGCAGGAGTAATTGCAAAAATTGATTCATGGGAAATGCCTGTAACAGGCAAATCCTTTTGACAGATCGCACAGCCATCATTTTCTGCATTTATTTGAATCAATCAATGTTTTGATGCATATTTGGGTCATAAATACTGTGATCTCAATTGCATTTATTATTATGACAGCTGTGTTCTACTATCTGTTATTTATTAGGTCCTGTTGTCCCTTCGTTTTACACCTTGTGGAGCTGTCAAGTTGGCTGTTCACTGGTGACAAAGCTCCCGGCTCTCCGGAACAGAACCTTCCAAAAATAAATTCTCCAAAGAGAGCTGAGTAAAAGCAGGATGTAATTTGTTGGAGAGGCCCTGGATGAACTTTTCTCAGTTTATTGGAAGGAGGACATTCGTGTTTTTTTCCTACTTTTGTCCAAATCCAGAATTAGACTTTGCATTTATCATCCAGAGGTCACCGAAGCTCACAGTCCCACTGATCGATGTGAATTTTGAATCATCCCCACTATGTCTCAAATCTGAATTAATCGGGTTATTCGGTATTTGAAATGTTCGGATGCTGACTTGAATGTTTCTAATTTTCCCTTGGAAGCTCTTTTAGCTTTATGTCTTTTTACATCATACAAATGGCACGATATCTGATTGTGAGAGGAATGAATTCCAGCATCCCTCCAAGGTCAAAGTCAAACTGCGATGGGCAGAGACAGTCATTTTCTGCCCTTCATCCCCAGCAAGCAGTCACACTGTGCCAGTTGCTGCACCAGCTCTGCAAGGTGTTGAGCACATTGGTGTTCACTCAGGAAAGCATTTAATCACAGCGTACGACTCTAAAGTGCTTAATATAAGCATGTGCTGAAGTGCCTGACTGGACTGGGGCCAGTGCAATTAGAGCCTCGCAGGGCTGAGGTTTGTGAGCCAGAGTTTGTGCCAGCTAAACAGTGAGACTGTTTGCAGCAATACAGCTGAAATGGGTGTGACAGAGTGCTGCACATACTTCTTTCTGGTATCTTCATTTCTCTATTTATTTATTTAACTGTAAATGCAAAACAAAACAAAACAAAACAAAAAAACCCTTGTAATTCCCACTATAAACATCACAGTGCAAAGCTGATGTGCAACAATTGTGTGCCTCACAAAATATATGCAAATGGATGGATATAATTTGTAAAGCAGCTTTGACTTCTTCATATATTAAAAAAGAAGAGATGTAGATCATATCATAGTTTAGCATTCTGCATGTTCTTGGGCTTTCATGCATCGCTATCTATGAAAAATTCATTACTTGTGACTACTTTGATTTTATACATACGTTCCAGTTGAGGGAGTGTGCAGCCTCCTCTTGCCCTTTCTTTTCTTATTCCCTCCCACCCTTTAACAGCTAATGAATTAGATGGCTAAGGTTGGGCAGTGGCAGAAGTGGAACAGCCCAACATGAGCCCAAACTCTCTGACCAAAGGAGGATCTCCAGGTATCCATGTCCCACCCACTTTGGGTTCACCAAACCCAGAAAGCTAAAATTTATCCTGGAGTAACCGAACAGCAGGAAAAGCAGCGTAGTTACATTCATCCAAATCTCTAACGTGGGCAGACATGAAATCAGCTCAAGATCTGACAATTCATGCAAAGTTTCCAATTAACTGTAGGTGTGTTGTGAGTGCCTTGTTTTGGGTGTTTCTGTGGTGTCACTAAACAGGCGGTTTGGTGTTGGCTGGAGGAGTGAACAAGAAGTCAAGGAGATTTTACAGAGGATATTCTACCAGGAGGCTCTTTCCTGCATGCCAAAAGGTCCTCAGTTAATGCTTTGTGGTTTTGAGGGGAGGCGTGGGGGAAAGGGAAACTTGCCCTTTCAGCTGGACATCCCTGGCCTGTTTGTGAGCTATTTCTGTCAGTGAAATAGTTACTAAGTGGTGGGTTTAAGTACAAGTTCAGTGCTGGTGAATAAGGAGACTGGAGTTTTCTGTCTGACTGCAGGGCTGGTGCCTCAGTAATATTAACAGTTGCCATAAAATGATAGAACAGATTAAAGATCTTCAGTTTTTGTGGACTGTTTCTCTCTTTCTGCTGCAGGAGCCAACAAGGAGCCTTTGGCTTGCTTTCTGTTTGAAATTCCTTCCAGCCTTCGCTTCACCTTCTCAGTGATGTTTGAGCAGAAGCTCTTCATTTATTCTGCCCTGGTTTTGTTCATGCTTTCAGATGTAGCACAAGTTCACTGCTCTGAAGTTTCTCTGGGAATGAAAAAAACTGTTTGATTAAGGAAACACCAACTGCTGCCGTCCTGTCAGACTGCGTAACTTTGTAAGCCAGGGCTGCAGCACATCCAATTAAATGGAACTGCTCTCTGGAGGATTTGGTTTGCAGAGAATTAGTTTTCGTGTTCTTGGCCTTGTGTTTATTAAATGGTTCTTTCCTTTTTCTTTCCTTTACAGTTTTCATCTGTAGCTTCATGGTGGCAGCGCCTATCTTTGGTTACCTTGGTGACCGTTTCAACAGAAAGATCATTCTCAGCTGTGGGATCTTCTTTTGGTCAGCTGTCACTTTTTCAAGCTCCTTCATCACTGAGCAGGTAAGATCTTTACAAAGGCACTTAGCAGAGTGCTCTGAATGCTGGCCAACGTGCTCCTAGAAACACGCCGTGTGTTATCTGACTTCCTGGGGGTCAAGTCGATCTGTGTGACTGAACTGTGAAATCTTTGGTCTTAAAAATATCCATAAAAATAACAGGTGAAGCATGGTGAAGCAACACTTTCCGTTGACGTAAGGGCTTTGCTTTCAGGGAGATCCTAAAGAAGCTTTAAAAGGCTATTAAAACTGAGTTGAAAAAAATGCCTTCTGGTATCACAACAGAAGTCACTGGAGTTAGTTGGGAACTCTGCTTATGGTATGTGGCATGACAAAATGCATCCAATTTGATTGCTTTCCATCAAAGAGAGTAGGGGTGGATGACAGCATGGAGATTAACCAGAATTTTAGCTCCTTTTATGCTAACTGATGGATATGTCTGGGGAGCTGGTGGTGGGACTGACAGGCTGTGCACAGCATCCCTCACCTGTTTTCAGGACAGCCGCAGTACTCCATTCTGAAGACTCCTCATTGTGCTAATTTCCTTGCCTATCAGAGGCTCTTGAAAGAAACAGTTATCTGGCATTTTCTGAGGAAGAACATCCCCTTTTAAAATCATATTATAGAGATGGTTGAGTTGCGGTGGATGGCAACATTCCTGGAGAGACAAATCCGCTCCTGGTGTCACCAGAGCGATTTCCCCAAGGGAGGCAGGGTCCTTCCTCTCTCCTTCTGCCCAGCTGCGTTCCACGGATTGTAGCATTTGGGTCACGCCTAAAGAAAGACATCCTAAGCCTCTCCTCCCTGCTCTCTCCTGCCCACACACATGCTCTGTAGTTTCTAAAAACAGAAAATTTCTACCTAAAACAGGCAGTGGCACTCAAGTGTTTGTCTGGCTTTCATGTCAGATAGTTGCTAAATTTCTAAATAAAATATGCCCACAGCCAAATGTAGAAGCCTTTAACTCCAATAGATGGTTCTGGTTTATAATTATCCAAGAAGAACCCTTTCTAGAGAAAGATCATCTCCTAGCAAAAATGAAGCACATTTTTACATTCTGGGTTTTTTTTAAACTTTCTTTTCATAACGTTCTGCAAATTTAGCTCTGATTGTAGCCCAAAGGAGAGGCAAGTGCTTTTTGAAAAAATCAGCTGCACTTCTCAGGTTACAAACATGCATTCATGCTCAGGTTCTCAGCAGTCTCTCCATAATGGATCCAGTGCTGTAGTTACAGATGGGAGAGGAGTAGACACGAGGTACTGGAAGTGGACCAATGTCATCTGTATTTTCAGAGATTTTTAGTTGAAGGATTTGGGGCTTCTAGCTAAAGCAGTTCAAAGACTGATGCATGAGCTCGTTAGTAATCAGGAGATCAGCATGAAAATGTCGTATTTGTAGCCTACAAAAGTAATGCATATAAAACTGGACTGTGTTTGAAATCCAGATTCCAGTTTTTTGGAGGTCAAGAAAGACAAGGTCAGAATGGCCCAGCCTGTTAATTTCTCCTGTATTCACATGAGCACTAACTCTGGACCCAAACTACAACCTTGGAAACAAACTGCCAATATCTAGAAAAGTCCCCCACAATCCTCAGCTCTTCCAGAGTAATTTTGCATTAAACCAGAGATCCCAATCCCAACTCCTTGCTATCGAGTCCAGGATATCATGATATATTTTGCAGCTGCTGTATGATGTTCTCCACCCAGTGGCTGCAGCAGATGAACAAGGTGATAAGCATAATCCCAGCCTCACACAGCATCCCTCCCACCTCAGTATCTTTATTGGAGGTCTGGTCACTAACTGGGAAGGCATGCCACACTGAAGAAGGTGAATTCCTGAAACATTTGTGAGGAGTCAAAGAAAAGCTGATGCAATCTTTTTCTTTGTGCCATAGCTAACTAGGCACTTTTCCTGGTCTTTGCCTTCTAAGAAATCATTTAAGGAGTGAAACAATAGCTTTTCTCTCAACATTTTTTTAAGATAGTATGTATGTTTGGCAGGGGAAAATGCTGTGAGCTGAAATATGAAAAAAAACCTGTTGATGCAAATAAAAGTAGTAGTGAGGCTACTGTCAGCAGATGTGTGCTCAATCCAAGTCAGCATGGAAAGCCTGGCTAGAAAGAGCAAGTTGGCACAGGCTGAGCCCACAGAACACTGTACAGAAAACTCCTTTATGCAGTGACAACAGAAATACAGAAAGAGGCAAGAAACGACAGTCATTCAATAGAAACAGCAAACTGTATCTTCAGGGATTGCCTTTCTTCAAGTTTTGAGAATGTGTAGTGCCCTGTGAATGCTGTCTGTGTAATTAATAGAGCGCACATCCACAGAGTGCACATTTGGAGGGTAGATGGAAGGAGACAGCTTAACAGAGGCAGAAAGCAGCTACAGTTCTGGCGGACACTGAAAGCCCACAAACTGTAAGAGCTTCTGACAGTGTGCTGATTAGTTCCTGGATGTCATTTGCACATGTAAAGGAAAGCGATCAAAATGCCACAGTGTGAGGGAAGATTTAGATTATTTCTCATTTGTTGTGGAAACAAGCACACAGAAAAGGATATTTTCATTCATATCTGTCCTGTTGTCAAATTGTGCAATAAAGAAATGCCCACATGACAAGAAAAGAACATGGGAAGAGAAACTACCTCAGAGGTATCTTTTGATCTGAAGAAAAGGAATGGAACTCAATGAAATACTTTATCTGGGCTTCTATTGAAATGCTATTTCATATTGTTTGGATTAAGAAGATAGTGACTGAATGCTGTGAGATAAAACATCAGATTGGCTCTGAATGTTACGTAGATGTGTATTTGCTGGGGAGCACTGTTTTAAGCTTTGTAACCACTTATTAAATATCCTTCATTATTCGTTACCGAGGATCTTGGCACTTTAATAGGACTAATGAATGTCAAATGATTGAAGAATGAATCTCAGCCTCCACCAGATAACAGGCCTTCATAGAAGGAAAAAAATCAGTCTAAAATGTAGAGATAGTTCCAGAGTATATAGGAGATGGTGGTTATTGAAAACAACAGTGATTCCTTGTGTACCAAAAGAAAAATCATCAGAAGTAACATGGCTGGGGTGATATGGGGAAATTCATATTTGTTCTGTTACATTCTGTGATTTGACAGTTTGCATTGGTGTCCCACCTCACTGCAGAACAGCAAGAAGAATCTTCCTGCACTCTGACACTTGTACTCCTCCATAACACTATTTAGCACTTCCTAAATGAAAGGTTGTATAAAAGGTCATTAGCAAGTTTGTTCATGAATTCAAAATTATTTTAAATTAGTGCACATTTAGACAGATCTCTAGATTAACTCAATTTATAAACATTTCCATAAAATATCCATTTATCTTAATTTGTAGTTTGTAAGTACTAACACCTGCTTAGAACTTACTTAATGCATTTCTATTAATTAGTTCTCCGCCTGCATGTATACAAATGTTGGTACTTTCACCTGCAAAACCATTTTTGTTGTAGTTTGTGGCTCCTGGCACGCATCTGGTTTTTGGCAAGCACTTTGGGATTTGTGGTTCATGCTCTATAATAAATCAGGAAAAGAGCCACAGCACAAAGAAATACACTGAGTGTGCAACAACAGCCTTCATGGAGTTGCTTCACTGAGATGCATTTCCATCCGCACAGAAAGCTGAATATTGGTCTGTCTCTTTCTGTATCAAAATGAACTCTGCTTTTAGTGAGCGATCGGCTTTTTCTCCAGATAGCATTTGGATGAGCATAATGTCCAATTGCCTGTGTTATGGCTGATCATCTTGAGCTGCTTTATAGCCCAGGATGTCGCTGGGAAAAATACACAGACCCAGTTGCATGATTTCTCTTGTTCTGAACAGCTTCACACGAGGCCATTTGGCTATCTGGAGTATGAGGCTGCGTGGATATCCACATCTATTAGTCACAGTGCTACTGTTCTGACTGTTGAACTCTTTCGCCAGAAATCTGCCTTGGATTAAACCTTGTTCTTGGTGCTAACCTTTCTGCCCCTCAAAGCACAGGGTTCTGAGAGATCAGCAGCCTTCTCCCTCGCAGGCAGACACCAGCTTCTTAAAGCAAGAAAGAGCTCAAAGGTGGAAAACTGCAGACTGCTCTCCCAGCCTTGGGAAGTACTGCTATTTCCCACGTGAATGTCTTGAGTAAAGATACTTCAGCATAAAGCAGTACTGTTTAACGGGTGAGCAAAGTGCTCTGCTAAGTAGTTTGGCTCCACTAGGTTGGGAGAACGAGCATACCTAATAATCAACAAGACCAGGCTGTGGTAATGTGGGTTTACTAGGAGACAGCAGAACTGCAGATGGGAACAAGTTTGGAAATGAAAAAGCAGAGAATGACAAGGTAAATGTGCTGTTGAATCCTTCAGTTCCTTGGTAAATATTTCTGTTTGGATGTTGAGATAGCTGACAAGACACAGCCTTCCTATTGTACCCCCTGCAAATTACCCAGGATAGGTATGTCTACTGCTGGTTTCCTCTTTTCCTCTTCTTTTGATTTATCTCTAAAAGAGGAAGCAAATAGCCCAGTATGGAATTCCAGTTAGCCAGCAGTGCTTCTGAAGCCTTGTGTTTCAGACTTTCCAGATCTATATTTATTGCCAGAGCTTGTCTTTCAAGGAGTGCAGGAAGAGAAACAGCGAATTATGTGCACTATGGATCAAATGGTTTGCTGAGCTAATTTTAAAAAATGTAAACATAAACCAACCCCCCACCCCTACTGCCCAGCATTCACTCCAAGCAAAAATGTGCTCTGGAAGAAATTAATTTATGAAACACACAGCTTCTGTTCCCTTACTTCTACTGCATAAGCTTGAAAAACAGAAGCAAACAAAACTAAAAGCCTTTAGCTATCTTTTTTGTATGGAAGGAAGGTACTGAGTGTTACCTTGTAGTCACCATGAATTGCTGGAATGCTTATAACTTGTTGTTTCATCCCACTGTGTTAGAGGGAAATCTCTTCTACAAAGAAAGCCAAATAGATTCTCCAAG